GAGGGGGCAGGGGAAGTTTTTTTTAAAAAGGCTCTAGTTAACACAGTAACACCCAATCAAAATGTTTCTGTCTATCTCTACCAAGAATGCTAAGTGCATTTCAACTCTGCAGGTCGCCTTTAAACAAGCGACCCAAAAAGAACTGTGCATGCAAGTCCTAAAGCATCTGATGTGACAACAGAACAGCAAAGTTCTGTGTAAGGACTTTACATTTGTCAGGGAAGGGCACAGACCATGAGCTGTCCCAGGTGCAAGGATGCTGGTGGAAAGGCCAACCTGAAGCCAGCTTCCAGCATGAAGGGCCACAGGACAGGGAGCTCTGAGTTGAAACCAACCACCATTCGACATCAGCTCACTATGCATCACTCATCAACCTGCCCTTTGAAGATAGCCCTGCCAAATGGGGTGAGGAGAGGCTACAGGCCCACAGGTGCTCTGGGCTGGAGTTCAGCAAGTGCTGTTCAGGCCCTCAGCAAAGCCTACCAAGCAGGAGCACCTCAAGGCAGCTGCTACCCACAGCAGAGGTGACCTCAGGCTCCTTGAGAGGCTCCTACCTATAACGTGGGCCTGTGTGAGTCTGCATGTATGGAAGGGAACTTTCTATCTTGCTCCTGTGACCCAGACTTGCAGACCAGATTCTCAGAACCAAAATTAATACCAGTTGTCTGAAGAACAGTTCTCCCTAACAATTTTTTTTCTTCTGATAAGCCTTAAAAAGGTGCTAAGAAAACAACTGCATCTAGTTACATATATCACAGGCTGCCCACTGGATTGTCCCAGGAAAACTCAGAGTTGTGGTCAATGTGCTCAGAGGAGTGGAGCAGATAAACACCATCTTTGCATGGTTAGTTCTCGGGTCCCTTGTATATTTAACCTACAGGATAAAATAAGGACTGGTGAGCTGAACATCACCCAAGTGTATAATAAAGGATTACTACTCTACAAGAATCCCTTACTTCACAAGAAAATAAAAAGTCAAGTTGGTGCTCTAAGTCTGGTTAATGCAGGGAAGAAAGAATATCTGGGACTTTCGGGAATTTCTATAAACTTCATGTCCTGACCACACCAATTTTAAAAGTTCTTTAACAGTGTTTCAACAACAAAATATTACGCTGAAAAAACATGAATTAAGAGGGCCAACTATACTCACACAAAAGAATATGGTACGGGGGAAGAGGTCTTTAAAAATAAATCCCCTGGGGTTTTTGGATGCTTTTTAAAATTGATCACTAAGGGGACTACACAGGGTGAAGAAACAGCTGTTCAAGGTCATGACAAGGGAAGATCAACATGAACAACAATATTAAAATAAAATCACTTATAATACAGTGTGAGGTATTACAATGGGAGAACAGGATCTCACTTGGCAGAATGTGAGGCTCACTGAATTTCACAGCCCCACACCCACTACATAAATAGCTCAGACAGATTAAAGAGGATGCCCATGGATGTTGATTAAGTCTAGTCTCTAGGCTGCGCTGCTCCAATGCAGAAACTCTCTGGTTCCATGAACAACATGGAAAATATAAAAGTAAGTTTAGCTGGTTTCTAAAATTCTATTAACTCCTTTTTATAAATGCTTTAATATGAAGATTGGTACTTAGAGTAGGAGAGAAGAGGTGTGGAGGAGAAAAAGGATTTTAGGAAGGTTCTCTTACAAATTCTTATTCCACAGGTATCAGATGGTTCACTCATGTTTATTTCTTGGGAGCTTTCTTCGGCAGAATTCCCCAGTTGTAAAAGTCCAGATTTTTCTCCACTGCCCAAATGCAAAAGCGTAATTTCTCCTTTTTGGAGAGGATTATGCTGAAATTAGTGCTGCATAAGTACCGTTCGTTACCTTTTCTGGTGAAAAACTCCTTGGAATATTTCCCCAACATAGCGTATTTTCGAGGGACTTTCCCCAGCAGTTCAATGATCAATGCTATGTGATCTGCATTGGGAAACATTGCCAGCAAAACAGAAACACACGACAGTTTAATCAGTACGCTGCATGCAGTACTGCCACCACCTGCGCAGACAGAAACAGAGTGCACCCTGGATAATCAGAAGCACCAGCTCTGCCGGTGGCCGGACACAGGCACCGGAGGTCCAGGGCACCTCGGAGGAGCTGATGCACAGGGTGACCGCAGCACTGGGCCACATGCAGTCTTCCCTCTCAACTTTTAAATCAGCACCGGAATTCTGCGGGGTTGCTTTTTAAATTTAGGAGAAATGCCTTTGTCACCATTATGCTGCAACCAGTAGCTACTATTTCGTTTCTGTCTGCATCGAGGCGCTTTTCAAAAAGAAGAGGTACTACCTCTGCGATTGAAGAATTCCCGAGAGTATTTTCCAGATAGAGCAAAGTGCCTTGGGATACTGCCTAGCAGCTCTATGATGTGGGCTATATGGTCTATGGAGGAGAGAAAAAAGGATATGGGAATGGGAGGGGCAAAGGGAAGGAGGGGATAAAAGAAGAGGGGAAAAATTGAAATTAGTAAAAACTCAGAAATAGATTCAAATCAACAATGTTTGCAGCACATCCATGCAGAGGCTTCTGAGACTGGCAGGCATCAAGTACCATCTGGAGCATTAACGGTGACTGATGCCAGCTCATCCCAGGCCACCCCAGCATCGCAAGCAAATTAACATGGAGATGACCAGGTTTACAGATGGATTTCAAGTCAGAATGCCCTGGTTTTCAACTCAGCTCCCAAAAAGGAGAGAAAAATGAGCAGCAGCTCAGTGGACAAAAGGACCACAAGAGGCCTCAGGTCTGTATCACTTATCCTCTCCTGGCCAGCTGGGCTTGGGGCCTGTGGGCAGCAGGAGGGAGGGATCTCCGGTGCCACCCTTCCCATGAGGCTCAAAAAAAAAGCATCTAAATTTGTTGTTTGAAAACCAATACATAGCTCTATTTCAGTACAAAAATACACCATTCTCCAGAATTTTGGGACCCCAGGGAGCCCCAGACTAAGGTGCCCAGCAGGCAGCAATACTCACCTTCATCTCTGGAATAGTCCTCTCCAGAATGCGGTTCAAACAAATAGTCTCCTGTCGCCAGCTCAAATGCCTAGGACACAACACATGACAGACTTAAGTACTTCAGAGACTGGCCCCAAGTCACCAAGTTTTCCTCCTTGTACAAGATTTACATTTTATAAGGATATGAATCAAACCAAAGAGCCTCCTAAAAGGTCTCAACACCAAATTTTTTCTCCCTTCCAAAAAGTTCAAAAGAGCTCCAGAAATAGTTTTACATCTCCTCTAGTGGAAGATGAAAGGGCTCTGCACTCTCATTTCACAAGAAGCAAACAGACATGTCTGTGTATCCGCAAGCAGCTGTGCGGAGGCCTGGCTCAATCCAGGCCCCAGGTGTGTCTGATTCCAGAGCCTGCCCTCAACCAGCAGGCTAGCCTGGCCCCTGGATAGCGGATGCTGTGGTTTCTTAAAGCAAAGACCTTTCATGTCTTAGTAACCAAGGGGGCTATTTTCAACATCTCATTACCATTCATTTCTGACACAACCAAAGGAACACCTAGAGCCTAAGAAGCCCCTCTTGCTCTGTCCCCCAGGGCCAGGAGGAACCCAATCACTGTGTAGCCTCTCCCAAGGAGGGCAAGGAGAGCTGGCTGCCTGGGTGACCACTGTCTCTGCCCAGCACCCCAATGGGGGGCAGGGGACCACTTGTTCCCATTTCCACCAGGTAGTCTGCTTCCCTTGTTCGCACAAACACACAAAACCTCAGGGCTATGAGTTTAATTTGGTAGCAATATATAAAGACTGCAACTACTATTGCTCTGCTGATCAAATATCATGCTTTAAAAACAAAACAGAATAAGCTAAATTCCATTTTTGGTCTTCACCATACTAACTTCTATTCTGTATTAGATTGTGCTGCTCTGAAAAGTGCTTATTGATGCCTGTAGATCTATGCCTACGGCACTGCTCCCACCCTCTCAAGGCGCTGTTCTCCCCACTCTGGCCCTTGATGAGCTGCCACTGCACTGAGCCATCTTCTGTTAATGACCACACACTGCAGGGAAGGCGCACAGGGAGACTCCTCTGCCTGAGACGGGGGCACCTCTCCTAGCACTCTAAACAAATCGCAGGTTGGCTCACTCAGCCCAAGACCACTACTTCATGAACTTGGGGTTCCTGCCTGAACCAGACCTGGGTTTGAGCATAACCTGGACATGTCAAGCCTCAGCACAGAGTAAGGTGTTGCCCCAGCGCTGCAGTGCCTGAGAATGGGGCCTCTCTCCTCTCCACCCAATAAACAATAAAGACACTGGGCAAATCCAGGTCTGGGCACAAAACCTCACATTGGCTACAAGTCCAAGAGGAACAACTGGATTTCATACTGAATGGCCTTCCTCGAGGAATGAGAGGCTTCCTCTCCTAGGACACAATCAATTCAATACCTTAAAGGCCAAGAGGGAAAGGTGAAACCCTAATGGGGAAAGACCCAAGAAGCTGCACGATGGAAGCTCTGAGAGTGCTGGCTGCTCTTTACCCTCCCTTGGGTCCTCACTCACTCTTCTAATTAACTTTCAAAAATATTTCAGTCTAGCTGTATATAGTTCGTACAGCCTAACACTAAGATATGCCAGCTGAGTGTTCTTTGAAAAATGACTGTTTTGATCAGCACCCACATATTTCCAAGGAAACCCTTAAGTCAAAGGGGCCTATCAATGGAATGGTTTAAAAGAGAAAAGGAAGAGTGGCAAGATTTTCCTGACAAATAGGACACACACAACAGGGCACACACACGGCCATGAAAATATCGGCCGCTATACTTTGCAACTTCCCTTTCCGTCTGCAGCTATGAAACCAGGAAAGACTACCACCTTCAGCTCATCAACTTCCTTCCACTGTAACCTTCATAATTACTATTTATTTTCAATAACTGGGAACTTTGGATTCTTCTCCCCGTACTTGGCCTAATGCCCTCAGAGGGCCTTCCCTTGGACCAACCTCTGTTCTCAGATTCTGGGGATATCTCTTTCCTGAAATGCCCTCTCATGCCAATGTGCCCCATTCTGAATACATAAGGACACCTGTTAGTTCCGCAATGTGACCAGTGCTAAAAAAGTTTGATGAAATCTATCAGATGGGCTTTCCTGTTTCTATAGCACGGACTCAAGCTCATCATGGAGTCCATAAAAAGGTACCTATTCAGGGACTCTGACACACATGCAGAGGAGCTGAAGCCTCAACCCACACAGAATTATCAGGTCATATACACTTACACCTGGAAAGGCCCCAAAGCTCAAGAAAAGGAAAAGAGATTCAACACCTGATATATCCCAGCTACTGTGCCTCACTGTGTTGTCCTTTTCCGGGTAAGAGCTCTGCTCTGACAACACCAAAGGCACACATTAGCAGGCATGGGTGCCCCCACCACAGGAGCGCCATCCCCATTTGCAGTCTCTGTAAGGCTTGGTGCCACTTACAACACTCAGAGGACTCTGGGCTTCACCTCCAAGAACAATCTGGAGCTTTTAGTATAGCTTGGAATTATGAATTTAATACACTGATTTTTAAACTCAAAAAAAAAAGGGTAGGGATGTGGAAACACTGCCTCATCTTTAGCAGCTTTAGTTAGAACAAAAGGGACCTTCAGGGATAAGGGGTAGGGGTGGGAAATGAAGGCTTGACCCTCCCAGAAATATCACCCTTTTGACAAAATTTTTAAAATCCTCATAAATAGCCCTAGAAATACTGAGGGAGCTTATGTTTAATTTTGTGGAAAGGTGGGGTGGGGTGGGGGAGGAGAGTTGCTGGAAGGAGACTAAATGAATGTTTTTCCTTAGGGGTTACTAAGGGTTATGCCACTATTGGCAGCAACAGCAGGAGTCAGCACGCAAGAAGATCGTGTAGAGGGACAGATTCTTATCTAACTGTGCTGACACCACCACCGTTATTCACTACATCTGTGATCTTGTCCTATTTTTCTGGTTATATTACTAAAATTTAACACCCAAAATTAGAAGCACAGGATATCAGAGTTGAAAAAGCTCTCAGAGTCTAATTCAGGGCAGCCCTAACTTGGCCCCTTCTGTGTTGCTGGGGACAAGTAAGGCTTGACCTCACCACATTCTGAAATGGAACATTCTCCCCCACAGCTCCAAATGTTCCAAGTGCTCCCTTTCTACTGACCCAACCACAGCTTCCCGCAGCCTTCAGCTCTGGCCCAGGTGCCCTTTGGAGTCACACAGAGACATCTAATTCCTCTCCACAGCAGTCTCTAACTTCAAAGGAACTACCAAATTTCCATCAATTCTTTTAACCATTCTTTTCCATACCCAGTTACAGCAAGACCTTAGGTTTTTGATACTTACTGAAAAACTTGATTTTTAAAGTTATCTGGAATTATCCATCAGAGCAACATGGGGACAGAAAGGGACAGTGTTTCAGTTCTGTTTGACCATATCTATTGCCTCAGATCATGCTAACCTGAAATATCTACTTTTTTCATATCATTTTAGCACTATTAACAATACTTTTACTGTAGGATCAGAGGACAAACAATCTAACACACTCAATTGTTACATTAATCTTTGAATGACAGTAAATTTAACTGTTCAGAATTTTTGTGTCATGAGACAAGTGCCTACCTTTACACACATGCCCTTGCATTTAAATATCAGAGGAGAATTTGGGGGGGGAAATGTAAGATAAGGAAAGCATGAAACACCACCCCAATCAACACACACACACACACCCTTTCCAACACAGGACTACAAAGTATAGCCTACGAAGAGGAAGGTGCTGAACTGGCCAAAAAAGAAAATGACACTGGCTCACGATGAAGGACCATTCATGTTTATCAACTCACACGTAAGGAGTAAGTGAGAAAAAGATGCACTGGTGGGGCCTGGGAAGGGTTTAGACATAACTAAACTTGTGATGCACAAAACTGGCAGTGGAAACAGATAGGACATGTGGGTGGAAGCAGAGGCATCCTGAGGCCCTGAGGAAAACATCACCGTGTCCTCCTCAGGAAGATCTGGTCAGAGGAGCATTTGCAGTTACTGGTATCTCCAAAGTGGCTGGACAGCCCAGAGCAAGAAGCCAGGACATTCTCTAGATTTTACTTTATAAAAGAAGAGAGATGAAACACTGGTGGATGGGCAGGCCTTTCCTCTCCAGTAAGGAGATAAGGTTTGTCAGAGTTCACTGCAAAGGACTACAGCCTTTCAGCCTCAGACAGTCATCCCTTAAGACACGGCGTGAGTGATGAAGCTTCGTACAACCTGCAAGCTCTCAGTAACCAAAAGAATTACTTGAAGTTATTTTGCCACCACAGCAGAGGATCAGATTCTCAGGGTCGTGGGCTGCACAGGGCCTTGAGAAGACACAGACTCTGAGAAGACCAAACCATGCTCATCCAATCCCAAGACATGCCCAAAAGTTCTTCCAATTCTTGTGTTTTTTTAATCCTCAACCGGGGAATTTTTTTCCCATTGCTTTTCACAGACTGGAAGGGGGGAAAGAGAGGGAGAGAGACAGACAGACAGACAGACAGAGACAAATCAATTGGTTGCCTCCCGCACGTGCCCTAACCGGGACCAAGGATGGAGCCTGCAACTGAGGTACATGTCCTTGACCAGAATCGAACCTGGGACCTTTCAGTCCACAGACCGAAGCTCTAACTGGCCAGGGCGAGTTCTTCCAATTCTTAAGATACTCAAGGCAACAATCTTCCCCTCACGCAGCCCATGATGGACAACCTTCAGTCAGAACACTTCAGACATGCATGACCAGATTCTGCCCATCACGAGCATTCCAATGATGAGCCTTTACATGGAAGGAAATGGCCATGGCTGTTCTTACCATACATGCCGTACTCCAGATGTCAGCAGGTGTACTGTAACCTGCTCCTATTAAAACCTCTATGGATCTATACTGTCGTGTCTGGATATCTTCTGTGAAGTGTTTATGCTGAAAAAGAACAGACTGAATTACTAGAGAGGTCACATTAAAAAAGAAAACAAAGTGTCTTCTAACACATGATCATGACCAAAATGTTTTAGAAAGAAAATCCTACTTACCACCCAACAAGCATTTCCGAGGTCAGCAATTTTAACTCTAATTTTATCCGCATTCCGTGGATCCAGGGGATTCACCAGTAAGTCTGCGGCCCGGGTTTTTGCTGGCATGAGCAAACAGCGGAACAGTTAGTATGTGGGGTAAGTGGTTGGCACATGTGTATACAATGTTTGCCAGGCACAGAGCCTCCTTTTCCAGAATAGTGATGGGATGACCATTTAGGCCTGGAATCCTATAAGTTGAACTCGAGAATTTAAAATTTGTGGGAATAAACTAGGCTTCCCAGAGACCCCACGGACACTGCCTTGCCCTTTCTTTTTTGTCTCCGGTTCCTTGTTCCTCAGGTCAGCCCTGCTCTGCTCCCTTCTGTATGTTTCTGGCTGCTCTTTATATTAGAGCCCATTCATTCACTAGTGGACCACATCTAGCTTGCCTGTGCATTGTTACACAGAATGTGATAGCACTAAGCGTGCCGTCCTGGGCGGTCAAGTCTTCCTTGAGTAACATCAGTTCATCTGTACCCACACAGCTCCCAACCCTGACCTCAAGGGTTAGATGATGGTTGATTAACAAATACAGACTAAAGGCTGGGACCCACCAATCCTGGTTTAGCTTTGAAAAGGAATATTCCAGAAGAAAGACTTCCTGAGATGACCTGGTCCATAAGGGCAAACCTCTGAGGTGCTTCATGACGGTCTTGTCAAATAATCGGGCCACTGTCAACCCCAGGTGACCCTGAGAGAACCTCAACAGCAAGCATAGGGCCAAGGCTTCTCAGGGCTCCTGGGACAAGAAGAGCTTCTCAGACAAGTCCAGACCATGCCTTCATCAAGCTCAGTTAACCAGGGGGCAAGTGACAAAGAAAAATAACTTAGTGAGGCCCAGACAGAAAATCCTGAAGTCCAATCAGCATCTTCATCAAACCTCAAACCTACAAGCTTGGATTTCTGGAAAGGATAAGATACAACCACAGCTTTTATTTTAGAATTCTGAAGTGGTATTTACAGACTAAAGAGAAAAGTGTGTTCCATGCAGAACATTAAACTCCCTTTGTTCATACAAAGCTGGCCACTGCTAAACGAACCAAACCTCCTTTTGTGTCTGTGCTGGGAAGCAAGAGTGCTGAAGGGGGCTCTGACGCCTCGGCACCCAGTAAGCAAAGCCAGGCTGTGCTCACTGTTAGGAGGGCAATGAGTAGGCGAGGCGCCCACCACCTAGAGCACAGACAGCTCCCCAGGAGGGGCCAGAGGGTGCGGAGAGACCTCTGGTTAATATTTAAACCCTCAAGTCCCATTCCTCAGACTGTGGATCAACCCAGGCTGGCAAGGCTCACATGCTCCCTTCTTGCTATCTGCCCAATGCCCACTTCCCTCTTTACAAAAAGGATGATCCACCATGGGGCCCCATCTAAGGTCAGATATGAGCTGAGAAGAAACACAGAAAACTCAGAAATGAGAAGAAAAGTTGCCCAGAGACCCACACAAGGAGGCACAATGTCTACACTGAACAGAGAATGGGTTGAGAAGAGAGTTCCAGGAGAAACATAAAAATGCTGACTCAATGGATAGATGGGCAGCATGAGAGAGGCTAGATAAATCCTCATGGCATTTAATCAAGGATAGTCAGTGAGCAGGAAAATGAAATTTGAGCAGAACTGGATTCAAATCTAAGTTTCAACACCTACAAGTTTTAAGACTCTGGCAAATCACTTAAACTGTTTGAGACTCAGTGAAAAGGAGGGAGAGGAAGGGATCACTTCCCTCCAACCCCCACATGCACACACAGACCTCACTCAGGAGGCCAGCAGCATCTGGCTGGCAGATTCAGGGGTTCTGCTCACTGTCACCAGGGCACGGCCCCCCAAGGCTGAAGTTTCTAGCGGGCGAAGGGCTGATCCCACTCTGGTGACACGTAGTCATCTTCCTGGCTCAGGTTTGTAAATAGCGATCATCTCACAAACTATGAATTTTACCTTAAAATGTTAATTGTATAAAAACACAGAGAAGGTAAAAGAGAACTTGCTTGTACTTGACTTTTTTCTCTCAGGGTACCTGAGGGCAACAGACACAATCACACCCGCTGTGCGATCACACCCATTTACTCCTACCAAGGAGGAGTGGAGACAGGGAGAGAGGTGAGAAGATTTCACGTCAGGAAGGGCTGCGGCCCTGAAGTAATTCCTGATAAACTGGCCTCTAGTTGACACTGTGTTCACTCCATGTGAAGGGATCCTAGAAACTAGTAAGATGACAGCCAGGGGGCCTCAGGGTGATGAGACAGCCACGTCACGTAACTGTAAGGCTCTATTCTAGGCACACACTGATCCTTTACAGTTTAAAACCCGTACACAGGAGGCATGATGCCCTCTCCATGTGCAGGTTCAGCACCAGGCCCAAATGGTGAAACTAGGAGATTTAATGCCCAAACCTGATCCATTCGTTTGCCAAATATTTACCAAGTAAGACCCTTCTATGTTCCAGGCTCTGTCTTGGCACTGGAAACAGCATAAACAAGCCATCTGAGGTTCACCCACCACACCCCAAATTAGGAAACTCATGTACTGGCTGGGAGTATGGGCAATAAAGTAAACAAAAGGATTCACATCCTATGCCAGGTGCCTCTATATGCTAAGAAGAAAAAGAAAGGAGATGGAGGGTGTTCAGGGAGGTCTTTTCTAGGAAGATGAGGTCTAAGGAGAGGCCTGAATAAAGGGGGGCCTGAGGGGAGAAGGTCTGGGCAGAGGAGGTAGCAAGTACAAAGTGCAAAGAGGCACAAACAAGCCTGCTGGTACTTTTAGGAAACTTTAGAAAAAAGCTAGTGTGGGAGGTGCAAAATGAACACAGGAAATAGACAAAGGGGATGTTGGGGGAAATGGCATCAGAGAGGAAGCTGCCAGGGAACAGACTGCATAGAGCTTGTAAGCTTTAAAGAGCTATGCCTCCGGGTGCTATTCTAAGTGGATGGGATGTGCTTTAAAAAGCTCTCTCTCTGGACTGCTCTAGAGACCAGGCTAGGGAGCAAGAGTCAAAGTGAGGTGAGCAGGGAGCTGTGTTGCAGCAGCCTAGGCAAGGACTGGCAGTGACATGGGTCACTGTCAGGTGAGAGTAAAAGGATCCAAAATATACCAATGTACTTGCAGGTAAAGCCAACACGACCACTCTGCACCAGGGTCTCTGCCCCTCAGATGCGATGAGCCACGGTCTAGTCTAAGGCTTTAGCAGCTAATCACCCAAGAGGAATCCTGCCTCCTCTTCTCAACCTTCAATCTATCAAATTACTCCAGGGGAGAGCTCACATTCTTCAGCCTGGAATTTACGTTCTCCCTCGATCTTCTGGTTCTGGCCTGGCCTTTTCTTCAACCACTCCCTAATGTATACACTCTGCTGTAATGACAAGGATCTTAAACAAATTCTAAATAAAGCTTGTTTCTCTTGCCCCATGTTCATGAAGTACCAAGTGGCCACCCACCAGCCTCTAGGCCACACCTTCCATGCAGGAAACACCTCCCATTCTTGGGGAAAGTGGGGTTGTCCATGGTTATAACCACCAAAGCTGAAAACCAAAACTGAGCGCCTCCCAACAAATGACTGGATGAGGAAATCCTGTCCCTGCCATGTCCCTAGAATGTGACAATATTCAGAAGGTCTGCTTGGTAAGAAGATACCAGGCTCAATGAAAAAAAATAGACCTCCTATTCCTCCCAGACAGGGTGCTGGGAATGGAATGTGTGTTGGACAGAGTAAAATTCTGACTGTGAATAGAAAAAGGTGGGGGAAAGGGAAGAGTAGAAGAATATAACCAAATATCACCGATTTGTATGTTCATTACTCAACAAATGTTTATCTTAGCACCAAGTTAGAAGCTAAGGATATAAAGAGAAAAATACACAGCACTTTCAAAGAGTTTACATCCTAGTGAAGAGAAAGATAATGGATATGAACAATGACCATACAGTTAAGAAAAGTATGACCAGCAGGAAAGAGGGGAAAGGGAAGAGGCCTGCTGGGGAACACAGGACTTGTGTTTGAGCTGCTAGCTGACAAAAGAATGAAAGTTTGTCAAAAGGATGGACAATGGACAAATAGGAGGAAACATTCCAAACCAGAGGGAAGCATAAGCAAAGGTATAGAAGCATGAGCCAAAGTGCCTTGCGCACACAAACGCTCTTTATTAAGTCTTGAAAATAAACCAGGAAGACTATGCTACGCTTGGTGACCAAAAGCATCAGAAGCAGTGTGGCACTAGCATGAGCGCAAGGGTGACACGCCGAGGTAAGTTCTTCCTTAGATGAACCTACATCCCAGGTGAAAGCATCTTTTAAATACCTTCAAAAAGTTCTGCTCAGAGTAGAGGTAAACAGGTTCAGAATATGTTTATCCAAGTTTAAAAATAACCAATACATCTTTAGATGATTAGCTATAGCCAATGAGTAGCAAAAGCAGCTCTGCAGGTCTCCCACCTGCTGAAATGAAAGGGGCTGCAGAACTGGTTGGGCTATTTGCAAGGCTGCCTCATCAATGGACTATTCATGTGTTAAACACTCTTGTCAGCAGAGGGAGCAGAGGAGGTTTCTGAGGCCAGAATGGAAACCAACCATGGTGCCAGTGTTTGCTTACTGGAGTCCCCTGGCATGTGATGGCAGAGACAGGGCATGTGGCACTCACCCTCATGTGAGGGTTTAATGTAAGTTGTCACCACACTTAAATCCTTGCCACTTCCTTTAAAACGGCAATAGCGAGTCCTGTGATCAGGAGCAAGTATCAAAATAAAGACAACTTTTCCTCAGTACAGACGAAGAGCAGAGACATACATCCTTGAATAGAAACAAAACAAACCAAAAACTAAATATTACACCACCAGATGGAGGTATGAATTATAAGTTCAACGAGACATTCTAGAAAGCCATAGGTATAAGTTCTTAGACTTGGAAGGTTTTGCAAATGTATGTCACTAAAATTAGAAAGAATGAGAAAAGCTCAGAAATGGGATCTGAGATGCAGAGAGCAAGAGAAAGTAGCACAGAATATATTTTACATTTCATTACTTACGAGTAGAAAGGTAATAAAATGAAAATGGTTAATGTGCACATACATCGCTTTGCCAACTCCAGCCAATTCCCGCCTTTGTCAAGTGTGACACAGGCCACTGAAGCAGGTACCTGATGGAGAGGGACACTTACTTTTTGGCAAATCCCCAGTGCTGGAGGCTGAAACTGTCCTGCTTCTGTCGTGGGATGGGCTGCTTTCCTCCTGCTCAGTAAGTGGGGATCCCTCGGAAAGTGTAGAGCCACAAGCCACAGGTTCTAAGGGCCCAGAGGACAATGATGTGGGAAACTCTGGAAACTGTGACTCAGGAATTTTATGTCGTCCATTTGGCAATTCACCATTGAATTGTTCGTAGGAGCTGCTATACGTGTAATCACTTTCTGCATTTGGCTCATCCAGGTTATATTCCTCAGGGTTTGGGCAATCTTCCTCCTCATCGTCTTCATCATCCAGCTGCTGCTCCAGCAGGAACGGGCCATTCTCAATGTGACCATTGGTTTTGGGGGATTCTATCCACGTTGGGTCTATGTTCTCGAGCTCCTGTTCAACATCGTCTTCATCCTTCTCAATGTTTTCTTTCTCGGCATCTTCTTTCTCTTCCTGGTCCTCAGCTTCACCTTAAAAGGTTGGTGAGTGAAGAATTAGAACATGTTACTCTCCTTAACGCAATGGCAGTAGGTACCTCTCTCCTCCAACAGGAGATATTTTTGCTTGTACTTATGTACTACATAGCAAACATTGCTTGGCTCTCAGGATAATATCCTCAGGTTTTTAAAATCTTATTTTTCATTTATTAAATAACTTATTAATACTCTTATTAGAAAAAGTTAGCTCCTTGGGGAAAATGACTATATTAGTTGCATTGCTATTTCTATCGTCTCCTCTATAATCTTCAGAAAAGGTTTTATGGGTACATTACTATTAAGTAAAAGGTTAATTACAAAATAAAAGACAATTATTAGCATAATACAGACATGGAGTTTCTCATACATTTTCCATGTCTTAAAAAACTTTTGAGCCCAGCTAAGCGTGGATCAGTGGTTGAGCGTTGACCTAGGATCCAGGAGATCGGGGTTTGATTCCCGATTAAGAAAACACCACAAGTCAGTTTGCTTCTTTTGAAAGGACTACACAATAGTATAAATGCTGGCAGCATGGCAAATACTAACAAAGTCTGTTTTTTCAGGTCGTATTCAATTAAAATCACATGCCCGGTCAGGGCACAGGCCCAAGTTGCAGGCGGCAGCTGATCAATGGCTCTCTCATCATTGATGTTTCTCTCTCTCTCTCTCTCCCTCCCTCGCCCTTCCTCTCTCTGAAATCAATAAAGACGTATTTTTTTAAAAAACACAACAACTTTTGAAATATTAGCATATTTCTGGCATCCGTTTTACAAATGAACCACCAGATTGTTCCCCATATTCCCAAAGACAGAGTCAAAGGGAATTCTCCTCACATCTGAAGCAGCCACATGACGTCACCCTATGCGATGACCTGGGGAAGGGTCCCTGTTAATGAAGCCCTGGGCCCTCTCTGCAGCCCCTTCTTCGGATTTCACTGACCGTTGTCAAGCGCAGTCTCTTCCTCAGCAGCCTCCTCTAATCCCACTGTTTTTAGTTTCACCTCTGGGCGGTAGTCATCATCTTGCTCATTGGAAGGTACAGCTGATGTCACGTTTTCTTCTATTATCTTCCTTTCGGCTTCACGCTCCAATTCTTCTATTTCCTGCAGGCGCTTTTCCAGTAACTCAGCCTGCCTTTTCTGCTTCTTTTTCAGTTTTTTCTTTTTGTTTTTAGAAATTTTTCCTATCTACAACATGTCAAGAAAATACCACAGGTCAGTTTGCTTCTTTTGAAAGGACTACACAATAGTATAAATGCTGGCAGCATGGCAAATACCAGTCTGTTTTTTCAGGTCGTGTTCAATTAAAATCACATGCCCAGACAAGAGATCCACCCCGTGGCTAGGGTTACAGTCAAACCAGAAAAAAGGAACCAGTGTAACATCAAATAATGGGTCCTACCCTCAGAGGGATAAAACTTAAATCCAACTAAGTCTTTTTCATTTCAACTCTAAGAAGAACTGAATACACTGAGATACTCTTCCCTTTAAACAAGAAGCACCTCTTGCGAGTTCTATTTGCTGCTGCCTGTATACAAAGCAACAATATCCTCTCTCCTTACTGTCTTACCAACTGACTGCCAAAACAGAAATGCCTGCCAGAACAGGTGTGTTTCATTCACTGCTGGTCAACAGTACCGTTTGTGTTTGGGTCTCACACACTGAGCTGTTATCAACAGCCAGTACTGCATGAATATAAGAAATGAGCATACAAAGTAAAGGGAAAAAGAAGAAAAAGCACCTCCAATCATAGCCATCTGACTTGGAAAGTACTAGCAGTGAGAGCCTCCAGTTTTCACAGAATCAATAATCAAAACAAGATGCTCAAGCGGTGGAAGAACTTTGGTAAATGGCTCGGTGCGTCTCATCGCCTCAGCAGGCCAGGTGGAGTAATTATTACAACTCCCTCTTGTACTGGGACTTCCATTCCAAACGCAGGGCTGCTGGCAGCACTCTGAATTTCTGGCCATTTCCTTTCAAATGCTTTTGGTTCATAAAGCTCTCTTTAAATCTGTAGGTGACCCATCAGCTTGAGATAGAGACATTCGACCCTCCCCTGAACCAGCCAGGGACAGGTCTGCTGGACAGGGTTTACTTCTAGGCAGCCTGCTTCATTTGACTGGACTTAGTATTTTGACCACAAAATAGATGATACTCTTTCATATTTAACTACTGGCTGCAAAAAAACTAGAATGGCGTTAGAAAAACAGCTAAGCCAACGGCACTCCAGGAAACACATGAGGAAAACGAAGCTCAAACGCGGAACAACTCTAACTATTTCTAAGTCTAAAAATCAGCTCAACTTACCAAAACAGTGTAAGTCTTATATATATTCAAAGATACAGAGCATTTATACACATACTTGTCTTTTACATTAATATACACTAGGACATCAGTGATTGAAAAAGGAACCAAAAAAATAAAATTAAAGATAAAAGTAAATAACAATAATAAAAAGAAAAAAAAAGGAACCAAAAAAAAGTACAATTTCCTCAAACAACCCTTAAATGAAAAATTGTTGCAGACAGAAACAAACTACATTATTACAACATGAAAAGTTCAATAATGAACAGCTGCTTTTAAATATAAGTACTTACAGGTTTTTGCTGTGGAGCCGTACTCACTAAAACAAAACAAAACAAAACAAAACGACTGTTTAGAGGGAAATTGATACATAACTTTATGTAGTAATTTGAATTATAAAATGAAATAATTACTGCCTTTTAATGGCTATCCAACTTCAACAACTGTTAAAATACTAGAGCTTCTGAATCAAAGAGATCTAAAGAATGTTTATCCAACTCAAATAAATGATTGGTTCTTAAAAAGCATAGCAGTAATTATTTAATATGGAGCTATTTCTCTTATTTATCTAAAATTAAATAACCATTAAAAATAATAGCCCTAGCTGGTCTGGCTCAGTGATTAGAGTGCTGGCCCACGGACTGAAGGGTCTCGGGTTAGATTTTGGTCAAAAGCATGTACCCTGGTTGCAGGCTCCATCCCAGGCCCCAATCGGGGCAAGTGCAGGAGGCAACCAATTGATGTTTCTCTCTCTCTCTTTCTCTTTCTCCCTCTCTCTCTCCCCCTTCCACTTTCTCTGAAAAACAATGGGAAAAAATATCCTCTGGTAAGGATTAATAATACTAATGATGGTAATAATAGTAATAAAAAATTAAATTAAATAACCATTAATTTCAAAAACAGTCCATCCCAAAGCACTGACTAATAATTAAGAAAATGCAGAAGGGTTCACAAACGAAGTCATAGAATCAATTTGTTTTATAAACAATTTAGATGAGATGTACATCTACGTTTGAAAACTGTTTAGCAAGTTTGTACAACCTAAAGTAAATCAAATATTGCAGCAAACATTCTAGAAATCAAATGAGCAGACCTTGCCAGCCTCAAAAGCTTGACAGACTAAATGGTTCTGTGATCTAAAAAAACACCAATGGTAGAAAATAAGATTCAGAGGTGCTACACCTCCTAAGAACCGCAGTCAGTCACCGGGCTGTAGCCTTTTCATCTACATGCTTGCCTGACAGCACACTAGGGCACATATGTAGTGAGAGCACAGCCAACACTTGACTGCGACGGTTAGTCAGTGAAAACCAGAAACAAAACTTTTTATGCCAATACTCAAGTCACTTGATCTTTCCCCCACTGGGATCTTCTGTAACTGATTCCAGATCCACCAGTTAGACTCTGACTGATGTAGCTATGCTAACAAACCTGAAGCTAGAAAAAATTCTGATGACTACAAATCGGCTACATGAAACCTGCTGCTATATACTCTCCTGCAGAGAAGTGGGCAACAGAGGAAATGTTCAAATGCAGATGAAGCAGCAGGTAAGACTTCAATGACCTTTTAAGGGAGAAGAAAGTTAAGTAGTTCAAATATGAAAGTATAATTTAATTGAGAAATCTTCCTTCTTAAGAAAAAGTTCTAGCCCAGCCGGGCGCAGCTCAGCGGTTGAACATCAACCTAGGATCCAGGAGATCAAGGTTTGATTCCCAGTCATGGCACATGCCACGGTTGCGGGCTCAGTCTCCAACGCGGGGCATGCGGGGGCAGCCGATTAATGACTCTCATCATTGATGTTTCTCTCTCTCCCTCTCCCTTCCTCTCTCTGAAATCAATAGATATATTTTTAAAAAAAGAAAAAGAAAAAGGTCTAGCTATTTCTATCAATCAGGCTCTTACAAAAGTTCCCAATATGTACACATTTGCCTGAGTTGCCTGCAATGTACAACTTTGCAGGCTCTTAATGTGCCCAAATTGACTAAAGCAAAGCTGGCTCAGCTCCCTCACCTGCAGACCCTGAAGGAGGAGGAGCACCGGCTTTCTGCCACTCAGTGGCCTCAGCTGCCATTCTTCTCACATACGCATCATCCACACACATCAAGATATTTTCCGGCTTTATGTCAGTATGAATGATCTTGCATTTACTGTGTAGATAGTCTAATCCCTGAAGTACCTGATCACAGTAAAATCAAGAGAGGAGATGAGTTACTTATACTTTATTATTCAACATTTATTTGTAAAATACGTAATACTGTCACAAAGCACAAAATTCAAAAGACAGAAAAGGATATTTAGTGAAAACCTCATCCCACCTAAGCACTTCCCCACAAGCAAGCAATGTGTATCATTCTGGAGATAATTTATGCCCACAGAAACAAATGCATTGATACATATACATCTTTATATACTTTTTAAATAACAACTTTATTGAGATGTAATTTACATACCATACAATTCACACTTTTAAGTGTGTAACTCAATGGTATTTAGATATGCAACCACAACCACTAATTTAGAACACTTTCATCATCCTAAAAGAAACACTGCTGCCCTAGCTGGTTTGGCTCAGTGGTTAGAGCTTTGGCCTGCAGACTGAAGGGTCCCGGGTTCAATTCCAGCCAAGGGCACATACCTTGGTTGCAGGCTCAATCCCTGGCCCTGGTTGGAAAGCATGCTGGAGGCAACCAATGGATGTGTTAATGTGTCTCTCCCACATCGATGTCTCTCCCTCTCCCCCCCCTTCCACTCTCTGAAAAGCAATGGAAAAGATATCCTTGGGTAAAGATTAAATAAAACACACAAAAAAACTCACTGGCAGCCATTCTCCATCCCTGCCAAACTCCTCTAGCCCTAAGAAACCACTAATCTACCTTCTATCTTATTCTGGACATTTTATATTAGTGAAATCATAGAAAGTGGTCTTTTGTATCTGGCATAATATTTTCAAGATCCATCCACATGTAGCATGTATCAACACTGCATCATTTCTTTTAATTGCCAAACAATATTCCATTGGATATACCAAATTTTGTCTAGCCATTCACTTGATGGACATTTGGGGTTTTACCACTTTTGGACTATCATAAATAATATTGCCATAAATATTCGCATACAAGTTTCTGTGTAGATATATGCTTTTATTTTTCTTGGGTGTATACCTAGGAGTGCAATTGTTGGGTCAGAGAGTAACTCTACGTTCAGCCCTTTGATAAACTGCCAAACTGTTTTATACAGTGGCTACACCGTTTTCCACTCCCAGTGGCCATGTGTGCAGGTTCTGATGTCTTCCTCATGGCCAATGCTGTTCTCTTTTTTATTTCAGTGACTGCAGTGGGTATGAAGGGTGTCTCTCATTGATCTGCATTTCCATGATGACTAATGATGTGCACACATTTTTAATTAATTTATTTTTGAGGGTGAGGGTTAGGGTTATAGGGGTAGGGTAAAGGTTATAGGGTATGATGTGCATACATTTTTAACACTGCAGGAAAGGAGGTCAAAGTTTTTCTGGATTTACTGCCATTTGAGAGGAATTTTTTCAATTCTTTCCATAAGCAATTACTTTAAAAATATAGACTATGCTCTTATATATTAGAAATTTAGAAATTCTACATTCTCAATAAATATTAACATTTACTAAATATCATTCAAACATTTTAAGGGGTCTTGTATACAATAGACAAGAAAGTGGGGAAAGGCAAGCAGAAGATATATAGTATCATTCAACTCTGGAAAGCTCACAGCAAAAACCCAATGCTTCTGTCTACCTTGAATATCTGGCTGAACAACCTTAGTGGACAACACAGCATTAGTAAGTGAAAGTATAGCAGTTTTTAAAAAAGAAAATTGAAAGACCTCTCAAATAGGATGAAAATCCCTCATCTAATCTCCCCACCCTTGTCTAGCACACACTATACTACATGTCTGATGCATAACAATAAATAAAGTTCCTTGTCTTCATGGGCTTACATAGTCCTTGTGTTATCACAGAGCTTACAGTTTCATGTCGGAGGAGAGAAGGGATTGAAAAGAAACCAAGGTGAATCATGGGCACAGCAAACAATTTAATATGTGGATGAGTTCCTAGTAATAGTACCAGTAAATGTCAACACTTTTCCTAAAATATCTTTTTACCAACATCTCATCCACAAGTAGCCTTTATCTTTCCACCTTAGGTCTTTCACAGTTCTTAGGTTGTTTTACCACGTGGGAGGCTGCACAGGTAAGAGTTCATGAGATTCACTATCCAAATGTGTTCATATGAGTTCACCATGACAATAAGGAAATCCAGACGAGCAGTGTTCTCAGCAAGAATTTAAGAGTCCAGATTTTTTTAATATTGCTAATGCACTCAACTGGGTTAACTTTCCTTATGAAGCATAGTTTGTAATATCTGACTATGAAAAGAACCAAAGACTTCACCACTGGAACAAATGAAATAAGTTAATTAAGATAATGTAAATCATTAAAGTAAAGGAAACAGTTAAGAGACATAGCATTAAAACACAACCTTGGGAGTCACATGTTCTTAAACTACTGCTCAATCATTCATTCACTGGGCAAGGTATCTAAGCTATCTGAGCTTCCATTTTCATATATATACATGGGGCAGGGAGGATATATCTATTAGAAATATGGTAAGAATTAGAAATAATCTGTGGAAAACACAAAAACAAGGTCTAGCTTATAGGAAACTCAAAATAAGTGATATAACTGAACTAAACCAGAAGACTTGTATTGATGTTGACTAAATATTAACTTTACTAAGGCATTTATTACAATTCTCCAGTCTTATTTCTCCCATTGTTAATATGAATGGGCTCTATTTGATAATTTCTGTGGTAATAAAATTCGATAATCTGATTCTGTAGTTAATTCTAGCCTACGTTTTTTAAAAAAAATCTTTAGCTGTAAGTTAAGAAGAATGGTTTTATTTTTTAAAATGTCATTTCTGCCCAACAGGCATGGCTCAGTGGTTGAACATCGACCCTGAGCCAGTTGGTCATGGTTTAATTCCCGGTCAGGGCACATGCCCAGGCTGTGGGCTCAATCCCCAGTAGGGGCTGTGCAGGAGACAACCAATCAATGACTCTCTCATTATTGATGTTTCTATCTCCCTCTCCCCTTCCCTTCCTCTCTCTGAAATCAATAAAAACATATTTTTAAAAAATGTTATTTCTGTTCTCAGCCACTGGGGTTTAAAGCAATAAGGAACCCCAGAATCCAGAACCCAACAATAATGGGAAATCTTACAACCATTTATGCAGAATTACTATGATGATGCAAAAAATCAAAACCAACGAATCAAGCTTCTTGCTCAAGGATAGATCTCCTCTTGTAAATTCTGAAAAACAGTTAAAAGTTGCTTTTCCTAATTTCCCCTCTGTTGCCTTCGTTTGTCAAATCTTAAGTTTCTCTCTTGCCTAAAAAACATATATACTTGACCTCAGCAGCAGGAGGCAGCAAAGGTGCACAGATCCTTTGGCTGCTATGGAAGTTGACATAGATCTAACCAAAGATGGCCCAGGGACAGGGCTGCATCCACTCAGGAAGCCCACACACCCTGCCAAAGCAGGGTCTAGTTTCTCCATAGAAGTCAGGTGTGCAGGTCAGCAGCAACACAGAAGTGAAGGCAAAGGCCAGGGCTGGGAGCAAGAGAAGCTCTGGTTCTCGGTCAGAAACTAATTAGCCATGGTCCAGAGCAAGTCCCTTCTCTCAAGTTCAGCTGTAAAATAAGGGGATTGGTCAAGACAGACTCTAAGATATTTTTCTATCCACCTATGAATCATGTCAGAGATCATCTATTACTGGTGTAAGCAACATAAGTCTGTTCCTTCCCACCACAGCTTGCTGAAAACAGGTTCTGTAATCTTGCAGATATAAAAGCAGGAGTAAGTTGAGAGTAATGTGGAGATTTCTCTCAAAGGCATCTTCCTGGTCCTGCACATGCACCACCCAGAGTGACGCTGCCCCCAAAACCCTAAACTATAAAGGGAAACAGAATGAAAACTTCAGTTAAGATGGCACCATAGGTAAAAAGTTGTACTCACCTCCTCCCACAACCACATTAAAATGAGAACTAAACTACAGAAGAACCATCACTCAGAACCACCTGAAATCTAGCTGAATGGAAGTCCTACAACTACGAAATTAAAGAAGCTACATCAAGACTGGTAGGAGGGGCAGAGACATGAAACAGGCTGGTTCCACACTCACATGGATAAAAATCAGGTGGGATATCTCTGCTGGGAATGTCCTCCCTGAGGAGTGAGGGGTCTCAGCCCCACAACAGGCCCCACAACAGGCCTCGCAGTCCAAGATTTCAGAGCGAGGAAGAGAAGGCCCTATAACTTCTGGCTGTAAAAACCAGCTGGTATTGAGGCTGAGGGAGGATGAGGCTGCTGGAGTCCCAGGCAGTTTCTCTTAAAGGGCCCACACATGGACTTATTCAGACTCACTTGCTCTTAGCTCCAGCACTGGATCAGCAGCTTGAAAGGCACTAGAGACATAAAGGGAGGAACTGAATTGTCCGGCATCAGGACAAGAGTTGGGTGTGTGTGGT